GTGTGGGGTGTTCTCTAGAGGGTCTCTGTCACCCTCTTCACTTGGAAGTCTCACATGTAGGGTGTTCTCTAGAGGGTCTCTGTCACCCTCTTCACTGTAGATGTCTCCAGACTGGGAGGGTTGTGAACCCCAGCCTTTGCCCTGGAGAGATCAGATGAAAACCACTCTTAGCACACAGATAGCATCAGAGCAATCGTGGGCATTCTTCGCATGTCTGCATTAACATGAATGACTTTTTTTGGGTGATGCATTAGCATTTTGACCTAGATATGAATTAATCATTTTGTTTGCTTGTTAATACTTTTTATGGCAAGACACCTCGCTCAGTGTGTAGGCACAAAGTTAGCCATGGATTAGACTAAGAACTTTTCTTTGAGGAATGAAAATACAAGGGAGAAAAATATAAGAGTGTGCAAAGGTCTGCCAGAACCATCACCGTATTCAGGGAAGCAGTGGGGATTCACAGAAGACTTGGGGAATGGGGTTTGGACAGTCCTTCTCTTCTGCCTGCTTCCCTCTCTCCTTCCCTCCCTTCTTCACCCTCCTTCCCTCTATTTGAAGAGTTGAATAACAGCAGTAACAAACAGAGCCTGTGTGGTTCTTACACGTGGCCACACTCTGTGTTGAAAGAACATTGACTGTAAATAGGAAGTGTGTAAGTTTCGTGAAGCAGGTGTGGTACAGTGACAGCTAATACATGTATGTTTTCAAGTGTTTGTTTTCCCCCCAGCTCCTTTCTAACTGTCCTAGAATGCAAGCTAGTGAATGCAAACACTAGTGCTGAGTTTTGAATCCCTCTCTCCCCTTTTCTTCACAGCCTATATAAAAGGTGGATGGATCCTTAGGAAAGCCTGGAAGATTTACAATAAGTGCTATGTGGACATCAACGCCCTGCAGGAGCTGTATCAGAAGAAGCTAACAGAAGAGCCCTTATCTTCTGATGCCGCAAACGATAATCACATAGTGGCTGAAGGGGTGACTGAGGAGTCCCTAAACAGACTGAAAGGTGCTGTCAGCTTTGGATATGGCCTTTTTCACCTTTGCATATCCATGGTGCCCCCAAACCTGCTCAAAATCATCAACCTGCTGGGGTTTCCTGGAGACCGCCTACAGGGCCTTTCTTCACTGACGTATGCAAGCGAAAGTAAGGACATGAAGGCCCCTTTAGCTACGTGAGTAGCTATATTGCAATGCTTTGGTAGATAATATAGTATTGAAAGTAAGTAAACAGCAGTGAGAACTTTAGAAGAAACTTCAGGAAAAATGCTTGTTGGTTGATAAGGATGCTGTTTCTGTCATGCATTGTCAAGGAGTGTATTCTGTGCTAGTGGTGATAAAATCATGTTAGCCGGAGAGCTGAGACACTGTTCAGTCCCCGGAATCCTGTATTTGTTATTGCCTTATCTTTGTGTGCACATGCATGTTTACGCACACACATATGTGTGTGTGTTTTTATATGGGGGGTACACATGCACAGTATGTGGAGACTAAAGAGCAACCTTGGGTGTCATTCCCAGAGACAGGACAGGCTCCTTTGAGACAGCATCTGTCATTGGCTTAGAGCTGACCAAGTAGTCTAGGTTGACTATGCCAGGATTGCACCTGCATGCTCCTTCCCAGCACTGAAATTGCAAGCATGTGCAGCTACCAGGTCCATATTTTCCTGTGGTTCTGGGATTGAGCTTGGGTTCTCATTCTTGGGAGGTGAGCAGTTTCCCAGCTAAGCTATTTCACTTGCCAGTGTAGTTGGTTGTTTTTACCCTTTGGGGTCCCACCACCCAGCTCCCAAATAACCACATGGAAACTTATTATTACTTATGAATGCCCAGTCTTAACTTGGCTTGTTTCTAGCTAGCTTCTCTTAACTTAAATTATCCTGCCTCCAGGCTTTTCCCTTTCTCTGTTCTACATACCTTTGCTTATTCCTGCTCCATGGCTGACTGTGTGACTGGGTTGCTGGCCCCTGGCGTCTTCCTCTCCTTTTCTTGCTCCTCTCTTCTCTTCCTTTCTTCCTTTCTTCTCTCTGACTGGCAGCCCCTTGTATCCTTGCTCCTGCCTTGCTATTGGCCATTCCGCTCTTTATTAGGCCAATCAGGCGTTTTAGGCAGGCACAGTAACACAGCTTCACAATGAAACAAATGCAGCATGAAGGAACACAGCACATTTTGCATCATTCAGCAGATATTCCACAGCGTAAATGAGTGCAACACATCTTCAGCTACAGCACAACAGGCCAGCCCACGCTCAGTGTTTTAAATGTCCAGCCTCGGTGATTTCATGAGGAGTTTTGTGCCTTTACCACGGTCTCTCAGTTGCACACTTCTGGTTTTATTTGAATTTATAAGGTCTAATTTTGTGTGGTTCTGAGACTTTTGTCCTTACAAAGAAGATAGATGCTGTTGGGTAATCTTCCTGGATGATTCCAGTTCATTGGTATAGCATGTGTAGTTTATCTCCCGATATCCCACTAAGTTGAGCCATATTAAAATGAAAAAGACTAAAATGTTAAAAAAGAATATGATTTTTAAAATTTCTTCATGGGCTGGAGAGCACTTGTTGCTCTTACAGAGGACTTCAGGTTTTGTTCTCAGCACCCACATGGCAGCTCACAACCTCTGTGACTCCAGGACCAGGGGATCTAATGCCCTCTCCTGGCCTCTTTGGGTACAAGCCCTCAGTGAGATGCAGGCGTTAGCAGTGAAGGGCTGAAAGCTATGTAGAAATCATGAAAATAGCTTTGCCCCCGCCTGTCACAGCACTAGATTGTGCAGACAGTGCCCTTTACTCAGAGCTATTAGCAGGCTGGTAACTTGCAAATGTGTCTTGCTTACGGCTTAGTATTGTTTTATCTCTGAAAAAGGGATTGGAATTAATCGGGCAAATTAATATGTTCTCCATAAGGGGCTTAGATTTACCAGTGCACTGGCTGTGACATTCACATGAAAATATTTGATGTGCTGGTTAAATGCTTGTATATGTTCACCAAAGCAGGTCTCAGTGATTTTACTCTCTGTGTGCCCAGTTTAGTTAACTAACTCGAACTTGGAGAATTTTTAACAATTTATATTTTTATATTGTTTAACATCTTCAAAGACTGGGAAAGGGGCCTTTGATTTGTTCTTCTCAGTTGTTTTAATCTGTTTTCTCAGTTTATTTAAGATCTGTGACAGTAGATTGTACATTTGGGTCTAGAGCCTGTAACTTGTACCTGGTATATATGTATATATGATGTGTAGGATCTCACTATGTAGCCTTCACTATATAAAACAGGCTGGTCTGGAACATGCAGAATTCTGCCTGCCTCTGCCTCCCAAGTGCTGGGGTTAAAGGTGTGTGCCATCACAGCTGGCCTGTAGCCTGGCTTTTATGAACACACATTTTTACTTCTACAGACTGTAAAAGCTTTTATCACAAAGAGACAATAAATTGGTGGTGACTGTCTCCAGTTTGCGCACAGGGCAGTGAGGTACAATCCAGGTGCTTCCTTTAGTAACAACGCAGCTGGAAGCTTCCAAGAGCCAGGTGCATCTGCTGTGTTTTCCTCCTCTTGTCAAATGCATAGGGGACTACTGATTGACATCTCATGCTAAAGTAGCTATTTTCCAGATACTGGCAAAAGTAAAAATGGGGAAGCATTTTGATTGTACTTTTTGGAATGTCACTTAGCAAGATTTCCTTGGGAAAGTCCGACTTGGAAGAGCACATGCTGGTTTTTATTTCGAAAACAGCATCTCAGGGAATCCTTCTCACGGCCTCTCTCTCCCTGCCTCCCTGCAGATTAGCTCTGTTGTGGTACCACACGGTGGTCCGCCCGTTTTTTGCCTTGGATGGCAGTGACAGCAAAGCAGGCCTGGACGAAGCTAAGGAGATTCTTCTCAAAAAGGAAGCTTCTTATCCCAACTCCTCCCTCTTCATGTTCTTCAAGGGGCGGATCCAGCGACTAGAGGTAGGCGCTTTCCTGCCTCTTCAGTGCGCTGCTGGCTAGCACGCCTCCAGTGTGCAGGACACCACTGGAGCCCGGGATATGAGTCAGTTACCTTCTGTTCAGGGGGCGGGACAAAGCTTCGGGAGAGTATTCGGGAATGAGAATGATTGGCATATTTAAGTTTAGGGAACAAGGGTAGTGTGAAATCATTTAGGTGAAGGACACAAAATAGAACCTTTTCCTCCTCTGAGTTAGTAATGATCTTAGCTAATGGTTGATTTATACAATGAAATCATCGGCTTAGAAATGAACGTTGCTTTTTCCATGCGTTCATCTGCTCAGTTTCCTCACACGGTCCAGGCCCCTCGTCAAAGCCAGCCCGAGAATAGACACAGAACTGTCACCTTCAGGTCACAGAAAAGGAAAACAGGGATCCAGGCGGACTTGTAGTAACTCTGTGAGACTTCCTGTACATGAGCCCAGGCTGTTTCTCTGGCTGCGCGGGTCCACTTCTCTGTGTCTCTCGTATTGTTCCAGAGCATGCGCGTTTGGGGGAAACGCAGGGGTTGCAGACATGTGAATGAAGGTGGCTGCTCTCGCTGCAGGAACCACCCATTTTCTCACCAGTATTTGTCAGTAAACCAACTGTAACACTCTGCTCCCCAGCCAGGTGCCCCTCCATCTGTCAGAAGTCAGCCCCAACCACCCCAGGAGATGGTGGGGGATTTCTGCTGAGCGTTGCTTTCTGAGCACGAGGCAGGTTTGGTTTTCTCCTTTCTCTTCTCTTGTTTGGGGTTGGTTCTGGCGGTGTATAGTGTTATGCAGAAAGCATCCAGAATCCTCCGTTCTCTTGTAGTGGCTCACGCAATGGCTCCTAAACCTGAACACTGTAAAACAGCCGTCTTAACTCTGGCTCTCACTGTACTGAAGATATTGGACTTTGCAGTTTGTTATTTTATTGTGTGTGTGTGTGCGCGCGCGCGTGCGTGCGAGTGATGGAGGGCACATGTGCTGTGACATGCGTGAGGAAGTCAGAGGACATTCTAGAATCAGTTCTCTCCTCCTACTTTTATGTGGTTTCTAGCGCTCAGTCTCAGGTCAGGAGACCTGAATGGCAGGCAGGTGCCTCTCTCTGCCTGCTGAGACCACCTCCAGGCCCCAGACTCTGTCTTCTGTTTGGCTCTGCTGCTGTGAGAAATCTTGAAGCAGCACTGCCAAGCGAGTGCAGCCCCAGCTCGCTCTGTAAGTTTAATTCTTCTCCGAGCCCTGCTATAGATAAAATGCTTTAGGGATTGCCATGTTGGCTTGGAACTCGCTGCACAGCCCAGGCTGGTCCCCACTTCACTTTAGTCTTCTTGCCTTGGCTCCCTAAATGTTGGGATCATAGACCATCGACGTGCCCAGATTTGAGATTATATCGGTCATTTATTTTGAAGCACAGTAGAAATACCCACACACTTAAGCATGTAGCCAAGTTAGTTTTCATCTCAATATCTTGAAACATTTTGTTTGTACTCAAGCTTGTGAGCTTGGGGTTAGAGTTCCCCTTCTTTCTCTTGCTCTTAAAATGCAGCTCTGACTTGTGATGGTTTGAATGTGAATGGCCCCATAGGCTCATATGTTTTAATATGTGGTCCCAGTTAGGAAAACTGTTTGGGGGAAAAATTAGGAGGTATGTCACTGGCTGTGAGTTGTGAGATTTCGAGACTGGTACCGTTCCCAGTTAGCGTTCTGCCTAAGATGTGAGCTCTCAGCTGCCCCTGCTGCCGTGCCCGCGTTCCGCCACCATGGACTCCAGCCAGCCCTCTGAAGTCGTAAGCTGGGTTAAATACATACTTTTGTAGGTTGACTTGGTCTTGGGGTTTTACCACAGCAATAGAAAAGTAACTAAGACATGACCCATCTCCTGTGCATTCAGAACTGTTTGCTAGTGTTGTTTTCTTTCAGATGGGGACGTGAACCTACCTGTAGGGAGAGAGTTCCAGTTCCTCTGTTCCCTTCTGTTTGTGCAGGAAAAAATAAGATTGAAAAAGGAAATAGAAAATTTTAAATCAAGTATGTCTTTTCAAGTATAGTTTTTGAGATGAAAGCCATGTACAAGATAAGTTCCTGTGAATGTGTGTGCTTCTCTGAATTGCACCTCGGGCCTCGCGCACGCTGCAAGGGCTCTGTCGCGAGCGGTTTCCAGCCTGACACCTTTGAGTAGCTGGATCATCACAGCACAGGCTGAACATCCCTAACTTCAAATCCCAAATCTAAACATTGCAAAACTTGAAAGTTCTGAGTGTCATCATGAGACTATAAACGGAGAACGCCGCGCCTGACCCCATGTGGTGGGTCACATTGGAACCCGGGTACACTGTAATGATCTATAAGCATCTTCAGGGGGCTGGTGAGATAGCACTGCTTCTGTGGACCTGAGTTAGTCCCTGCATGGAGGGCAGACTTACAGCCTCTAACTCCAGCTCCAGCTGTGACAACCCCTTCTGACTTCCCCAGACACTCACACACATGCACACATGCATCCATATGAATAAAAAATCTTAAAGGTCTTAATTATTACTACAGTTAGTCTCTGAATATAATTATGGTACAAGTGAAACAGAAATAAACTTTGTATCCAGATGTGGGTCCTATCCCCACTATACACACTATGCACACATGTGTAACAGTGAGCTGAGATTCCAGGCAGGCCAGTACTCCCAGCATGCCCTGGACATCTGCGCTCCGTCCCTGGGATGCGGAGGGCAGCTGCTTTACCTATTGTGTCTAGAGCTGGAAGATGACTCAGTTTGAAGTTTCCCATTAATTTCCATTCAGTTAAACTCACAGTAGTAAGTATTAAGACCATTAAGATACAATGAGAATTTTTCTCGATTATTTTTTAGATTCAGTTTAATATTTTTAATTTTGTGCGTGTACATGTGCATGCACATGAGTGCTGGTGCCCGTGGGAGCTGGAGGCCTGAGAGCTCCTGGAACCACAGTTCCAGATGGTACTGAGCCACCTGATGGGGCTGGCATTGAACTTGTGTCCTCTGAGAGCAGGATACATGCTTTAACCCCTGAGCCAGCTCCAGCCCCATGGTTATTTTTAAAGTATTAGGTACAGTCTACATTTTAATAAACTATATTTATGGTTATCTAGTCTTTTTCCCTTTAAACAATACCGATTTGTACATTTTTCCTATTGTTTGGTATTAACAACCAACTTTGTATGTTATTCATATATATGTATTTGGTTCTGTGTATGCTTTCATACTTTGTGTGTCTTCGTAGTGTCTATGATGTGATGACTTTTTCATATCTATCTCTAAATAAATGCCCAACTATTTGTGTGCAATAAGTAGCTGTATATAAGTTTAAGAAGATACTCTATAAAGTTAGCTGTCATGCTAACATTGCATGTGCTTGTGACCAGGAGACCCAGGATGAGAGCCCAGGAGAACCCCACTAAAGCAGTGCCTAACAGACCCCTTCACTGTAGCATGAGGACAGTGGAAGCTTCTAGGGCCCAACAGTCATATGGGAGAAGTTTCAATGAGCTTTGTCTCCTTTTTTAGACGTATTTGTGTTTTGTGTGTGTGTGTGTGTGTGTGTGTGTGTGTTTGTGTGTGTTTTGCCTGCATGTGTCTGAGCACCACATGCCTGCAGTACCCCAGAAGGCCAGAAGAGGACCTCAGAACCCTTGAAACCAGAGCTCCAGATGGTTGTGAGCAGCCATGTGGGAGCTGGGAAGCAGGGTTCTTTGGAAAAGCCGCCAATGCAGAGCCATCTCTCCAACACCATAGACTTTATCTTTTATGTATGTACCTGTATGTGTCACAAACATATATGACCTACATGTAAACAGAATGTCAGTCTGTTTGAACTGTCTAAGCTCTCAACTATCAGTGAGCCTCATATGTTCAGGCTGCTTCTGTCACGCATTGAGTCAGGCAGTCCATGTTTCAGTAGAGATGGGGTCTGCTGCCAATTGAAATGGCCAGAACACAGAGAGTTCACGACCCTCTGTAACTCCAGCTTCAGGGGATTCTGTGTCCTCATTTGGCCTTCACAGACATTGCATGTACATGTGTGTATGTGTGTGTGTGTGTGTGTGTGTGTGTGTGTGTGTGTGTGTACATACACAGTGAATGAACACAAATGAACAATTAATTGAAATGATGAGATAGACATATAGATGTGACCCTGCTTCTGGAGCCTTCACTGTACAGTTGTGAGGACAGTGTTGGGATCAGCTTGTTGGCTGGTTTCTTGTAAGAGGCAGTGGCCTGCCAAAGCCCTTCCTGCCGTGCAAGGCATAGCGAGGGGCCCCATCCCTCCGTGCTGTCTGCAGGGACTCCTTTGATTGCTGACCTTTACTTCATGGCTCCTGGTGTCCCAGTCCTTCCTGGAGGGTGAGGACCCTGCTCACATGTGGTCTCTGAAGCTCTGCACAGAAGGATCTCTTCATACACTGACCACCTCGTGTGGTTCCTGCGGTTTCCGCCCCTTTCGCTGCCCCATTATTGCAGGTGTTCTCAACTAGGGGCATGTCCTAATTAGCTGCAGTTGTCAACTTGGCACAGCCTAGAAGGAAAACCTCCACTGAGGAATTCCCAAGATCGGATTGGCCTGTGTCCATATCTGGGGGTGGGGAGGGAGCCTTGATTGTTCATTGACGTGGGAAGGCCCAGCCCACTGTGAGAGGCACAGTCCCTGGAAAGGTGGCCCTGGACTGGATGGTCAGGCTAGCTAAGTGTGAGCCTGTCAGTCAGCCATGGTTGAACTTCAGGTTCCTGCTTGGGCTTCTGTTCTGACTCTTCTTATTGATGGACTGTGATCTGCAAGTATAAATCAAATAACCCCTGTCCTCCCCGGCTGCTTTCGGTCAGAGTGCTTTATCACAGCAGCAGAAGAAAACCGGGGCATGCAGGGACCTTTGAAAGCTGGCTGCAACGCTTTCACCGCACACTTTTGTTTAATTTACATTAGTCGTCCCGGAGATGACAGCCCTGTGCTGTTGTTTAGCCTGCTCCCTCCTGATTGTGTAAGGGATCCTGTGGTGACTCCTTCATCAGGTAGAGAAAAGAGGAGACCTGCAGAGGTTGTGGGAGCAGGGGTCAGGGCAGAGAGACCACAGTCTGCGTGGTCTGTGAACTCCATCATCAGAACCGCTTGTTGAGGGGTAACCTGTGCCTCACGTGTGAACCGCACGCCTCGTGGGTGATGGAATGTTCCTATTTGTAGGATCGGAGGCAATGCAGGAAGAGAACAAATTCCCTCAAGTCCGATTAATTTTTGTCTTTCTCTCCAGCCCCCACACACTTCTCAATTACCTTAAGGACCCACCAAAAAAAAAAAAAAAACAGGGTTGCCATTTATTCTTAGAAGTACAGGAACCATTCATTACTGATTTCGTCTGGTGTGCGGGAGATGGAAGCGGCATCTGTCCTTGCATCCCAGTTAGATGAAGCCATATTGTACGATTGCATAATGAGAGTGAACTCCCTGACATGAGAAGATAACAGCACCCTTCATACAGGCTGGTTTGTGTGTCAGCTGGACACAAGCCTGAGACGTCAGAGAGAAGTGCCTCTGTGAGGTCCAGCTGTAAGGCATTTTCTCAATTAGTGATCAGTGGGGGAGGGCCCAGCTCACGGTGGGTGGTGCCATCCCTGGGTTGGTGTCCTGGGTTCTATAAGAAAAGATGTTGAGCAAGTCAGTAAGCAGCGCCCCTCCATGGCCTCTGCATCAGCTCCTGCCTCTGGGATCCTGCCCTGTTTGAGCTCCTGTCCTGAGGTCCTTCAGTGATGAACCCTTTCCTCCCCAACTTGCTCTTTGGTCACGGTGTTTTGTCACAGCGATAGAAACGCTAACTGCGACACCCTTGTTGTTTGTAAACGGACCGCGCATGTGCCCTCGTCACCCTGGGTGGACGAGCTGCAGTGTTGGTTCCCGTCTCCAGGCTCATGAGTGTGCTCAAGAGGATGAGTTTCCTGCTCACTGTACCCACTGTAGGCCTGGAGAGGCGGCCACGTGCATACCCTTCACCACCATCTTACTGCATAACTAACCATCTAAGTGCCGAGTCACGTGTAAGCTGGAACCCCATGCAATTTTGTGATCGTTTTATATGGAATCGCCAGAACAGGCAAATGCATAGAGACAGACAGTACACAGATATTCTATGACAGCAATATCCCACCTTTGGTGTGTGTGTGTGTGTGTGTGTGTGTGTGTGTTACCAGGGAATACATGCACACATCTGTACATGCATGTGTGCATGAGGTTGGTGTTGGCTGTTTTCCTCAATTACCACCTTATGTTTTGAAACAGGGCCTCTCGCTGAGCCTGGAGCTCAAAGATTGAACAAGGCTGGCTGGTCAGTGAGCTTCCAGGGTCCTCTTGTCTCTACCTCCCCTGCACTTGGTGTCTAGGCTTGGACAACCATATCCAGCTTTACCCAGGTGTTGAGATTGAACTCAGACCCTTCTGGTTATGTGACAAGCACTTCATTGACTCAGCTAAGTTTCCAAGTCCCCTTCCTGACCCTGTGGTTGTATTTCCACTTCTCTTATGACCCTAGTGGTGCAGGGTGGAGCGGTTTAAAGATAGTATGCAGAAGGTTGCAGACGGGCCAGCACAGGGCAGGCACAGAGTAGAAGATCCTGTACTACCAGGGTGGCAGTGCTCTTTGAGTGGCCATCAAACCCCTGTCAAACTTCTAGTGCAGTCACTTTCAGAGCTGCAGCTTGGGTCTGAGATGTTGCTCAGTGGTGGGGTACTTGCCTGGCCTGTGTACAAGGCCCTGGGCTCCAGCCCCTCCAGTGCACAAACAAACCAGCAATGCCCTTGCAGAGGTGGGCAAGATGACCTAATCTTAAGGGACCAGGATAGCCAGAACAGTCTGGAAAAAGAAAGCAAAGTTGGAAAGCGTATGGCAGAGTACTCTAGACAGTCAGCACTGGCGTAAGAGTCAGTGATAAAGAAGCCTCCGTTCATGGTCATTCGACTCTCAATAGGGCACCAAGACCAATCAGTAGCCATAAAAAAAAAGTCTTCAGCGAACGGTTCTGGAACAACTAAGCACACACATGAAAGAATCTCACTCGACAGTTGTTTCATCCATAAAATTCCCTCGCAGCCGGGCAGGAGCTGTGACTGTAGGACCTAGAATCACAGAGCTCTTTGCTAGCAGCTTATATATGACCCGGAGAATACAGAGACGGAAGAGCAGGTGGCTTCACCACATCACAGTGAACACTGTGTTACAGTGACAGTCTGGACTCGGAAAAGGACTTTGTCAGTCATGTCTTTAATGCGAGACCAGTGTCCTGAAACAGTACAGCAATAAAAAGATAAGTTACCCAGTTTGCAGTTACTACATAACTTGGCAGTCCTCCTTGGAATATACCCGAGAGGTTGCCCGTGGTGGCCTTCAGCAAAGCCTCCATGTTGGCCCGTAGTAAATGCCAGTCATTTGTCGCTATGCAAAGGGCTGATAAGCTTATGAAAAGATACTTGGTGTTGAAAGCCATTCCAGTGGCAGGTGGAACGTCACAGCCACCTGGCTACGTGTGACAGCCAGAAGCAAGTGTCCCATGACTGGGGACACTAGTGCCCTCGCTCATTCTGATGGGAAGGTAAAGTGGGACACACGTCAGCGTGGCCTCCAGGTGCAGAGCATCCACTCACTAGCCGACTCAGCAGTTCTCCTTGGAGTGTGTACACCCTCGACAAATGAAAACAACAATTTCACAGTGTTTATTGTTCATGATAAGCCCCAGGCAATTTTCTGATTCATTTTGTATTAAGTCTCAGACCGGGCAGAAGTGTAGAGAGAGCCTAGACAGTGGTTCGCTGAGATGTGGTGGAAGCCTGCCGAGGAGATGGAGTTACTGATAACCAAGGCTTGTTTGAGGATGACAGAGTGATCGCACCTGTGAATATGCAGGGTCCTTTGCCAGACACCTTGGGACACCTTCCCAGCGAGCCGCCACTCTAGGGACCTTTATGAGGCCACATTCCTGATATGGCTTCTGTTTCTGTCATGCACATCTGTCTTCTTGTTCAGTCTTTTCTACTTGCATTTGGCTCTCAGTCTTTCTGAGCACCATGACTGAGTTCATAAACTAGTGTGTTCACTATCCCTTTGTTTCCTAAGGAAATTCTTGACATTTTTCTGTTAATTATTTTTAATTCTTTCATGTCGTCTTTTTCATGAACACTTTTTAGTGTTCTGCTTTTTTTTCCCATACAAATTCTTTTTCTATATCATGTTGAAAACATCCTGGCATAGCGGAGAAAATGCTGGTTGGGAGCAGCTCTACAGGGACTTGGGGGCTGGGGGTGGTGTGGTTTAGTGGTATGGTGTCTGGCTAGAATACACAAGGCTTCAGCATCTAATATGCTTCCACTTTGGGGCCTTGCCTAGATTTTTTAAAAAGTATTATTACTGTTGTTGAAGAGAGAAGGAATGTGTGTGTGTGTGTGTGTGTGTGTGTGTGTGTGTGTCTGCCTGCCTGCATGTGTGTGTGTGTGAGAGAGAGAGAGAGAGAGAGAGAGAGAGAGCGAGCCTACCATAGCGTGCGGGTGGAGGTTAGAGGATATCATTGTAGACTTGGTTCTTTCCTTCCACCATTATGTGGGATCAAACTGACGTCACCAAGCTTGCAAGGCAAGTGCCCTTAGCTGCTGAGCCATCTGGCTGGCTCCTGGTCTCAAGCCGTGACCCGTGTGCTGTCTCTGTAAAGACGTACATAGTGCTGCTGCTGTCAGCCTTCAGTGTTGTCACACAGGCGAGCCAAAGCACTGGGTCCTTGGTGATTCATCTGCACCCTTCAGTGTCCCTCCTACTTCAGCTGAGTTGTGAGTCCCAGGAAGAAGCAGTTCCTGTCACACACGTTCCCCAAGTCACATGATTCACTGTTGGGAGAACAAGAGAATCCTGTAAGAGATGTCCACTTCAAGTCCGCTTCTGTTAGTGGAGGATGCGGTGACTTCTTTCCAAGGGGTTCATGCTCACCATGCACAGACTACAGAGCTGACTGCTATAGCCATTCTCCAGACTTGTTCAGGTACCTAGAGCCTTTGACGTCATAGGCCTGCTGAGGGGCTGAGGGATGTCACAAAAAATTGGAAAAGCAGTATGACTATGTGGCAGGCTCAGCCAGACAGAAAGTCAAAGACAGAGACAAGTGGATGGGCAGTGATTATGGGGGGTGGGTGAGACTAGGGCAGGATTTGGGGGCGGTTGGACCCTGAGGATGGGAGCTGGAGACTGAAGTCAGTGATGTTGTCAGTGACCCAGCCTCTTAAGGCCACCTGGCCTCAGCAAAGCCTTCCTGTGGCGAGTGTTCGCATCTGTCCGGGCACAAGGGGATACTAAGATTGGCACAGCTGAAGCAGTGTTACCCACAGGCGGATTTGATACCTGCTGGTCAGCCTCTGACCGCGCTTTAGCGTCTCCATTCCCAGCGCTTCCACTTCACTCGAGAGTGTGGCAGGATGCAGGAGCCCTAAGAAGCGGCTGAGACTCTGCTGTGCATTCACACTCTGCAGACAGCAGTGCGGTCTGTAATTGTGGCTGGAGACCCATGTCTCATGAACCGCTGCTTATAGTAGGCTTCAGGAGTCCCCTGTCACAAGCACTTGGTGACTTCAGACCATCCCTGTAGCATAGACCGCTGTCATTTCCTAACCTGCTGTCCCTGTGTGATCAGCATTAGCAGCACAGGTGTCCCTGCTCTGTGGCACAAACGGCGGCAGCCACATCTCTGAATATCTACCCAGCCCCTTCCATGTCTTAACCCTGTTAGTGTTGGATAGTGGCTTCCATATGTAGAATTTCTGAGGAACTTGGTCGTTCTCTGTCTCCTGTGACTACAGTAGTTTCCTACTGACCCCTCCTTACCCTTCTTGCCTTATAGTCTGTGCTTAACACGCCTGACTCTATGAGCCATATGAAACACTCAGTGTTTAAAACCTAGCTTCTGGGCCAGGAATCAGCTCGATGACAAGAGACATCTCTGCTCAGAGGACTGGATTTGGTCCCCAGAACTCACGTCCATGGCTTACAGCTGCGGTTCCAGCACTGGCAGATCCGTGCCTTCCTCTGGTTTCTGCCCACACATGCACACACCATACACAGGCACAAGTGTATACTTATATTTACAAACTAAAGTCAGAGCCAGGCATGGCGGCTGGCCTGTGACTCACTGTGTAGGACAGTCTGACCTTGAACTCACAGAGATTCACCTGTCTATACCTCCCAAGTGCTGGGATTCAAGGTATTCACCATACCCAGCTGAATTTTTAAATGCTATATTGTAACATGAGGGCCGGCTTGTTGGGGTATCTGTTCCCGCCCAGTACCCCCCAGCCGGCAAGTCCCAGAGAAAATCAATCACACAGAGATCTCTATAAGTTATAAAGCTGATTGGCCCATTAGGTCAGGCTACTTATTAGCTCTTATAACTTATGTTACCCCATTATCCTTATCTATGTTAGCACATGGCTCAGTACCTTTCTCAGCTGGGCAGGTTACATCCTGCCTCTTCGATGGTCTGCGCAGGAATGGCGGAGGGAGCTTCCTGCTTCGCAGAATATTCCCAGTCTCTTTGTTCCACCCCTACTTCCTGTCTGGCTTTCCCGCCTATACTGCCTGCCTGGCCAATCAGCGTTTTATTAAAATATGATTGACAGAATACAGACAATTCTCCCACACCACTATATTGTAAACTTTAGGGCTTATTGAGAAAAAGCTACTCATCACTCAACTTCAGACCTTTCCCTAGTGTTTCCTGTATTAGGGGAATAATTCATAAAGCCATTTTTAAGCAAGGCTACCCAATCTGAATTTTTTCAAAGTCAAAGAAACTATCAACAAATTAAAACTTGAAGATATATTTCCCCTTTGGTAAAAATGGCATCGATAGAACCCTGCAACAAGCCGTTTCTGTGGGTGCAGCTTGGTGACGTCATCATCAGAGTCAGGATAAGGAGGCGGGAGCCAGGGCTCTGCTGGATCGCCACATTTAACTGACGCTTAAGTCAGCAAACAGACTAACTCGTTGTCCTAAGACTTGACCGTCTCCATGGACGAACTTGAGGTCAGAGAAATAGCTCAATGGTAGATCCCATGCCTGGCATTTCCAGAGTGTGCTATGAACCCCCCTTGAGAGCATAACAGTGGCAGATGTGAGCTCAAGCTGTTGAAGTCTAGAGTGTTCGCACAGACCGGCTAAGGAAGTGCCAGGAACACACCGCTAAGAAGGCATGCTCGCAATGGCTGCCAGTTACACTGATTTCAGTTTGGTAATGGCCATACTCCACCTAGCTTGGTGAGGCTTTGCCCTTGTTTTGTTTATGACTCCCTTGGAGAACAGGTTCAGCAGCCCATATTGTTTGCTTGCTTGCTTGCCTGTTTTTGTATTGCTAGTAAAGGCCTCCTCCAATATATGCCTCAGGAGTTTTGTTGTTACTAGTTTTTTTTTTCTTTTTTCTTTAAAGATGTGATCACATGTAGTTCAGACTGTCCTAAAACTCCCTGTAGAACTGAAGATGACCTTGAATTTAGGATTCTCTTGCCTAAGAATTAAAGATATGCACCATCATAGCTGGGAGTTGAAGTCAGGTCTTCATGTTTGGCAAGCGGACAGTTCCATGGGCTACACCTCAGTAAAATTTTTTTGACATAATTTGTTAGTGTATAATTTGCCAAACAAAAGCCAGTGTCCTACTGGAGAGAGGGTTTAGTGGTTAAGAGTGCTTACTCTAAATGGAACTCTGAATAGAAAGGTATCCTGGTAGGTGGGAGCCAAGGAATACCACATCTCACAGTGAGCCCAGCTGCTCTGCTCCAGCAGAGGTGTTAGAGCCCTGCCCCTGCTCTGGGAAGGTCCCCCCCCCCCCCACACACACACCAAGAGTAACAACTCTGCCCCAGTGGGCGGAGTTTCCCCAGTGAAGTTGTTACAGCTCTGCTCTGGTTCCCCACAGTGTAACAGCTCTGCTCTGGTGGGCATTAAAAGTGACACGTTACTGCAGTTCCACCCAGTGTCACACCGCACAACAAACCTCACCCAAGAGATTTATTGGGAAGCAGGAATCTAGGAGGGCGGCGGCCTCTAGAGTGAGAAGCATAGCAAATGAACAGGTACAGAGCTTATATAGGGTTTCTTGGGGGTTGGGAAGTGGGAGAGCTTTCCCAGAGTGCCTTGGGATTGGTGGGATTCTGTAACCTGACTCAGGGACAGGCTCAGGGATTGGTGGGATTTCAAGCCCTGGTCCTGGGTCAAAGCAGGGTCAGGGTGTTTTCCCTTGGCCCAGGTCTCAGGTCAGGTCAGGGTCAGGCATTCTTTCCTCTTTCCCATACACTTAACTGTTGCAGAGGACCTGGGTTTGGTTGCCAGCACCCATGTGGCACCTCACAACCATGCATTACTCTGGATTCAGAGAATCAGATATTATGTCTAGCCTCTGTGGTCACTACACACATTTAGGCAAAACGCTGTACAATAAGATGAAAATAAGAAAATCTTTAATAAAGCAGACGGTTTGGGTCAGAGTCAGAACACTGAGCGTCCACAGCAGCCTTGTTTCTGTGTCCTTTTCAGCCCAGTTATATGCTACAATTTATTCTAACACTAAGCTGGGAATCTCATCTCTGCTATGCTAGGTATTTAATTCATCCTTCTTGTTTTAAATTATTTTGGTGAAGAAGGGTGATACCTTTCTGTTATTTAAACAAATCCTTCAAGGCACGATCCAGGTAGAGTTGATTGGCAGTAATGCCGGCTCTTGGTATCCTGTCTTTGAGCGCCCCTCTTAGTATTTTCAAGTTTTTTTCTCATACAAGAAAGAGGGGGCACATTCTTCACACTTGTAAATTTTACAGAAATGAACAAGCCTGTTTCTCAAGTCTGTGTAATAGACTGCTACAGACCACGTGGCCGCCAATAATAGAAAGTATTCCTACATCTGCAGTCCAGATGTCTCGGATCTCTTCGCAAGCTTGACGAAGGCAGCGTTTCTTTCACTGCGTCTTGTGCACGGGTGATCTGGGCAGGCACGCTCAACCCAGTTGGACCAACAGCTGTAAGAGCAATAGCCAGAGTGGCACCTAAGGAATTCTCCCCGTGTTACCAGGTTTTCTAAAGCCATTGTCTACCCAGCGGACTGCGGACCACCTTTGGATGGATCCCTTTTCCTGCGTCCTTGGCTGCCCAGCGCCTGCCCCGAGGCCCTGGAAGGCCCACCTCCTGTGCAGTGCTTTGTTCATTGGAATGAATAAGTGAAATTTATGCCCTGGCAATGCTGACGCATATGTGGGCAGCCCATACATGGTGGTTCTGTTGAACTTGTCCATATTGGGTTTCATGGTCTAAGCTGATGAGGATGACCGGGTCTTTTCCTCAGGAGGGCACCAGATCTCATTACAGATGGTTGTGAGCTATCATGTGGTTGCTGAGAACTAAACTCAGGACCTTAGGAAGAGCAGTTCTCTCAACCGCTATGTTCACTTACCTGTGTTCAGTTGGAAGTATCTTCCACATAGTATGTTCTCCCATACTGGGCTAAGCAAAGCCAGGCATCTGCAGGGTCTCACTCCCTGCGGCTCCAGGGACATCTCTTCCTTGACTCTTCTACATCTGTAGTTACCGGCATTCCTGGGCTTGTGGCCACACCCTTCCAATTTCTGCCTGTGGTCACAGCACCTCCCCTCCTAAGGGTGCAGATGATGGTGTCCCTGCCCTCAGGAGCCTTCCTTCAATCTAATCTGCACACACAGTCTCTCAAGAAAGCTTGCTCTGAGCTAATTAGGTCAGAATTTGAATACTGGTTCCTTGGCCAAGTTTCTTCACCTTGTTTGAGAACAGATGAGTATGTGTCTATCACAGAGAGGTGTGGGAAGCGCCAAGAGCTACAGTGTGTCGTCAGTGTTATTTCTTGGCTTCTGTCTCCCCTTCTTGACATCAGAGTCTTATTTTGACTGTGCTATCAAGACCCAATCCCGGTCGCTGGTGGGCGCTTTTCTTTCTCGGAAGGCTGGTGCACCTGCACTGGACTGTTGTGAAAACACAGCTGGAGATAGCTTGGTCACTATGGCCCACTCAGAAGTGAATATCCTGTGTGTGAGTGCCAAGTGCCCTTAGCTTGGGGACCAGAGATGCTGGAAGCGGAAGTGACCAGTGCAGTGTTTTCTGCATGGGGAGTAAGGAGAGGGTGCCTGGAAAGAACTGGGGTCTGTGTGAGGGGACAGTCGGAGGCAGTCGTAACAAGTATCTTGGGGCCCGCACTCCCTGGCACACTGTCCTGCACACACCTTCGTGAAAGGTTATTTTTATCAGTTTGGTGTTTGTGTCTAAGTGTAACTGTCTTGTTTCCCCGTAGGAGTTTTGTCATTCCTGTGGGGTCCTCTCCAGTGCCAGGTGTGTCAGTCAAACACAGGAATGACCAGGTGAAGTCTCCTTGTGGCTTCCTTGCCAGTGTTTATTGAGGGTGTGAAAGTTACAGTTTGAGTCTTTGTGACAACAGGACGTGTGTCACACAGGGCAGTTATCTGTCAGGTCACAGTTGGCATTCAGCCCCAGAGTTCTGCAGTCACAGGTTTCTCTGAGGTCTTCTGCAGATCCACTTCCGGGGACCCTTCTCACTGCTCCTGCCCGCCTGGCCTCCTAAGGAAGCATTTGGGAGCCAGAAGAGGCAGCTACAGAGCAGAACCAGAGGAGGAGGGCAGGGGAAGAAGTCACAGGCCTACCAGTGTAGGGCAAGGGAATGCCTCAGTCCAGCTGGAAAGGAGGAATGTGCAGGGCCACCACCCTCAGGGCAGGCTGTGTGGCCTCACTGGGTGCAGAGCCACCACCCTCAGGGCAGGCTGTGTGATCTCACTGGGTGCAGGGCCACCACCCTCAGGGCAGGCTGTGTGGTCTCACTGGGTGCAGGGCCTTTAGTGTTAGATTCCTGGACACATCTCAATACCTATTTAAGAAACTGAATCTTTTCTGATTCTGATGATTTTTTTTTTGAGATTTCTTGAGGAAAAAAAATTAATGGAAAGAAAAATCAGATACACAGTGGCTCCTTCCATACCCGTGGCTCCTTCCGTACCCGTGGCTCCTTCCGTACCCGTGGCTCCTTCCGTACCCGTGGCTCCTTCCGTACCTGTGCTTCCTTCCGTACCCGTGGCTCCTTCCGTACCCGTGCTTCCTTCCGTACCTGTGGCTCCTTCCATACCCGTGCTTCCTTCTGTACCCGTGGCTCCTTCCGTACCCGTGGCTCCTTCCGTACCCGTGGCTCCTTCCGTACCTGTGCTTCCTTCCATACCCGTGCTTTCTTCCATACCCGGACCACGGTTTCCAAGATCTTCAGTGAGGAATGAAGCCACAGAGAGAACTGAATGCTGGATATAGGCTTTTCCTTTGCGTGTGCACTCAGGCCACAGTCTAATGTATAGATTAGGCGAAGAGTAATGGTGGTAAAGCAGAACAGGACAACCAGACACTGTAACAGTGATAGGAACGTGCCTCGCACTCGCCAAGGGTCTTCCTTTATTCTAGTCTGTTTCAGACTGCAGTGGCCGCCACTGTGACCCAGAAAGCGAGGCGGCAGAGTGGGAGAGGGGCGAGCTAGCGTGTATAAAGTGTGTAACCAGAGACAGCTAAAACTAACTTCTGGAGGCTGTTGGGCTCTGGCCAGCAGTGGGTAGACACACACTGCAGATGGAAGCTGGAGCCTCAGGGAGCTTCTGCAGCGTTTGGAGAGGAGACCAAATGACCAGAAGCAAATGGATACCAGCTTTCAGTTTAGAAGCAAACCATCCCCTGTCCTGTGGAGCACAGGAACCAGATAATGGCAGTGGCCTTGTGCGTTCACTCCAGGCAGATGGAAATTCCTTCTGGACCTAGAGGACAGAATACGTTCCTTTTGCCTGTTGAATACATCTGGTTACAAAGAACTAGATTGGTAAACAGTTATACAACAAAATCTACATACACACATGGAGAGAAAATAGTGTGGGGAAAGAGACTGGGGAGGAGCAGAGTCAAAGTCACCTCCAAAGCCTGCGTGTGGTGCACACCTATACCCTCAACTGCTTGCTTGCGAAGGGACGCTGAGGTGAGAGGATCATGGGATTGAAGCCAGCGTGTGTCACAGAGTGGGACCCTGCTCCAGAAAACAAAGGGAAAAGCAAAGCAAAAGGGAATGGCTTGAGGATAAGGGAGCTTGCTGCCAAGCTCGAGGACGTGAGTTCAATCCCCAGGACCCTCATGGTGTAAGGTGATCTCTCCACGTATGCGCTCGCTGTGCCATGGATGTGCACACACAAAAAATAAGTGGAAAAAAAGTTTTGAAAGGGAGTTTTCTGAGCTGAGGTTAATTTCACCTGTTAGGCAAATTGGTGTGTTTTCTCCACAGTCCTTTCCCCTTTACTGTGCTCGCTCTGTTTAAAATCACAACTCGGGGCTGGAGAGGTGGCTCAGAGGTTAAGAGCACTGGCTGCTCTTCCAGAGGTCCTGAGTTCAATTCCCAGCAACCACATGGTGGCTCACAACCATCTGTAATGAGATCTGGTGCCCTCTTCTGGTGTGTAGGCATACATGCCAGAACACTGTATACATAATAAATAAATCTTAAAAAATAAAACTAAACCTTTAAAAAAAATCACAACTCAGGAAGAAGCTGAGTTTTGATTTATGACGGTGATGCTAATGTCAGGTCATAACCAATCACCATGCCTTTCTTTTCTCCTTAGTGTCAAATCAACAGTGCCTTGACTTCCTTCCACACTGCTTTGGAACTCGCCGTAGATCAGAGGGAGATTCAGCATGTCTGTCTGTATGAAATCGGTAACTAGAATTCAGTTTGTCTGTCTGTGTGAAATCGGTAACTAGAATCCAGTTTGTCTGTCCGTATGAAATGGGTAACTAGAATCCATCACGTCGTCTGTATGAAGTCGGTACCTAGACAGCGTGTCTGTCCATGAGAGCAGTAACTGAGGAGTCTGCCCACTCCAGCACCCATGCTCCCTGCGAAGTTCTTTCTTCTGGGCACACTGCCTGATGTGCACACGCACACGCACTGCAGCTCGTCTCACTAGTGCTCACTGTTCCTTGTGAACATTTTAAATCTGGGAAAGTGGACGGTGTGGGCTGGGTGGACCGCAGTGCCCTACTGTAGGAGGATTGATCTTCCCTGGTGCCTGACCTGGCTTTCTGGAGCCCATTCCCTATGGTGGGATACCATGCTCAGCCATGATGGGGGGCTGGCAGCTTGGTCCTGCCTCAACTTAACATACCAGGCTTTATTGACTCCCCTTGGGAGACCTTACCCTCTCTGAGGAGTGAAGGGAAGGTGGGGGGAAGGGAAAGGAGGGGAGAAATGGTGAACTATGGTTGGTATGTAAAATAAATAAAAATAGTTAAAAAAAAATTCGAGTTCCCAGCTCTTCTAGCCATCTGACCGTGAGACCTTAGATCTTAGATAAGTTACTGAAGGCCCTTGAGCACTTATTGCCAGTGGTGTTCTACTCACGTGTGTGTGTGTGAGCGTGTGTGGGCGCGCGTGTGAGCGTGCGTGTGCGTGTGCACATGTGTGAGTGTGCGTGTGTGTGAGTGTGCGTGTGCATGTGTATGTGAGTGTGTGTGAGCATGTGTGTGTGTGCATGTGCGTGCGTGTGTGCGTGTGAGCATGTGTGTGTGCGTGTGAGCATGTGTGTGTGCGTGCATGTGTGTGTGTGTGTGTGTGTATGTGTGCGCACGCACGTGCGCGTGTGCGTATGTGTTTAACTTGACCCAAGCCAGGGGGACCTGGGAAGAAGGAACATCAGCTGAGAAAATGCCTCCATCAGATTGACTTGTGGGAAATGATTGGTATGGAAGGACCCAGCCCACTCTGGGCAGTGCCACCCCAAGGCAGGTGGTCTAGGTGGGGTAAGAGCAACTGGGCGAACCACGAGAAACAAGCAGGTAAAGTGCCTGCAAGGCTTCTGCTCCGGTTCCTGCCTACAAGTTCCTGCCCTGGCTGCCTTCAGTGGTGAACCTATAAGCCAAATAAACACTCTTGGGTCAGTGTTATGCCCCTTCCTTATAGGTTTCTTTTTATAGAGGCAGCACTGTATTGGAGAAAAGAGTGATGGAGCCCCCCACAGTTCTTCCATCTGTGGGCCCGAGAAAGTCACTAGCCTGTTCGGTTCCTCTTTCTAATCCTGGGACCCCACGAGCCGCAGCAAGTGCTCCAGCAAAGGCTGGCACAGGCTCTAGGCCTCACGTGATGGGAGCCGTTAGTAACGGGGAATGAACTGCTGCTGCCTACCAGAGTGCAGGCTGGGTATGAGTGGAGGGGAGACGAGGTCCGTCCTCAGCACCAGCGTGCAGAGGAGGGTAGGAAGAGTCTGGTGGCTACTGGCTTGCACTGGCCTCTCACACAGGCTGAGCGTGAGCAGTGACGTTTTCTCCTTCGATGAGTGGTTTTGGATGGCAGCCGCTAGCCCGACCAAGTTGCCCTCCGCTGCCCTTCCTGCCTCTGCTACCCCTACATCACTGTCACTGTAACAGCGAGCGAGCTAGAGTCTCTGTCTGGAGAGCACACATCCTCTTCCATGCTTCTCCATGTTTGCCTCAGACTCCACATTATAGTATTTAAGGAGAACAGTAATTCCGTGTGTTTTTTTAAGTTCAAAGTTTGAAGCACTTCCAGGAACAGTCACAGAAGGGTTTTGGTTAATGCAGGTAGAGATTCCTCACTTAACCGTCAGCCGTGGGGTTCCCTACTTCAGTGCTATTCTCACTCCTTTATGCGGAGTGCTGCTCCAAACTTGGGGCCTGGGGTCATTGCACTGTGTCTTTGCCTTCGAGTGGTGTGCCATGCTCCGTGACTCAGGGTAGCATGCCAACTCTGCTCCTTTTGTAGGCTGGTGCAGCATGATTGAACTCAACTTCAAGGATGCATTTGACTCCTTTGAGAGGCTGAAAAATGAGTCCAGATGGTCGCAGTGCTATTATGCATATTTGACTGCAGGTGAGTAGCTGCTGTCTGTGGCCAGAGGGCTCCCCGTCCCGGTGGAGGGATGCAGGAGGAAGTACAGACGTATGCAGGGGCAGGCTCTTCTTTTCCCTATCTGATTAAAGAACTAAAAAGTAGGAACAAAACGTTATAGAAAATTTTGGGGAGACCTGGTGGAGCCACCATATGATGCCAGGAAAGTCTGGGTCCCTTCCTGGGGTTCTTAGTGTCGTTAGTAAAAAGATAAGAATGAGTCAAACTAGCTTTGAGATAATTTATTTGAGTTGAAAAGAAAATCCTCCAGGGTGGGCAAGCTGGAACTCTGCAGCTGCCCAGACAGAGGGTGGAGGAGAGAAGGGAAAAGGCCGTGCTGCTTAAGGGACGTTGACAAAGAGGTCAGACCCAGTGACAGGCAACCACAGGGAGTCAAGGAGGATGGGAGTGCCTTAGAACCAAAGTAAGGACGCCCAAAGTGCCCGAGTGTAAAAGCTCACCTAGAGTCTCTCCAGCATCCGGAGGGAAAAGACGCCGTGGAGGAAGGGATGGTTAATGTCTTTCTGATTAGGAGGTCCTGCTAAGCCTTTCCTTCTGGGGGTAGTGGGTTCTATACAAGGGGATAGGATTCTGGGAAAGAAAAGTATATTAAGGTGAGCGTACCTTCCTAAGGGGTGTCCCACCTTCTGAGGGGTAGTCCCTTAGCCAGGACCTCAACCTTACAACTGCATTAACTCCTAAGTTGACAAATGCCTGTCTCCACCTATAGGCAAATCCTGTTCTTTGCTATAACCAAATAAATGGGGCAGAAGTACCAAGAGGCCCAGCTGGATGCCAAGAAATCCAGGGCTGTGCCCAGTTATCCCACACTCCCATCTGGGCCTGTCTGGTCTTCAGAAATGCTTCACGTGAAGCTCTGTTTGCTTCCAAGCCCTTTCTTCTCCTTTCTTCTCCTTTGCTATGTTTTTATTCCTTAGGATTTGAAAATATTCAGAATCAGACATGTCTTTTTCATTGTGTGAGTAGTTTGTAGTTGGTGCTCTGTTTAAAAGTCCCATTTTACTTCAGCCACGTCATCCTTGCAGGGTGTTGTCACCGGAGCACAGGCGCCCTCATGCTGCTTCCATTGCAGCGAACATGACTGTGGTGTGGCTTTTGCTTTTGGACATTCTTAGATGACATAGTTAGCCTGTGCTGCCACCTGGTGGACAAAGCTGTTGTCTGCGCTGGTTTAGAGGGTGCAGAACTAAAGAAACCAGAGAGGGGGAGCAGTGCATCGCCTGCCTTGGAGAACTCAAGATCTTCAGGTCTGTTCTCCATAGGCAACCTCAGAAGCAATTCTTCTACTTAAAATTCATAAGTAACATGAGCATTTGTCCTGGTGCTAGGACTAGAGCCAAGGACCCTGCATAGCTTAGTTAGCTATGCTCTGCCCCTGAACTACATTCATGTCCCTCTGAGCATCCCAAACATTATTGTAAGCATCCCCTGATTCCTTGAACATTTGCCTTTAGTGAGACGCATTCCCCTTTCAAATCTGCCCCCTTAGCTCATCTAACTAAAGCAAGTCAGGCGCTGCATTAGTCGGGCTCTGGGTCTTGGCTAGCTTAAAAACCCCTCTAAAATCACGTCAGAGAGCAATTCGGTAAACCGCCTCATTTCCGTGTGCCTTTTGCAGCTTTGCAGGGCGTCCCTGTCTCATGCCTTTGTGTTTGGAATTTTTATTTCTGATATGTGACTTGTTATACAGAATGTCATGCTTAAGGGTTATTTATACAGCTTCCCAGCAGTTTGGATAAAAATAAGAGCTACTTATTGATCTCCAACTGCATAGCCTGGAAGGATGGCTTGCACGATGGCCAATAGGTGTGCCAGGTCTTGCAGTCAGTGGTGGGCAGCTGTGTTGTTGTTGTTTTGAGGGGGACATATAAGAAATGGATGTGTGAAATTCATAGCTAGATGACCAGTTGTTTACATATTGGGAAACATCCCAGAACTCTAGTCGTAGCTGTGTGAAAGTTCCTCACCTCTGTCGTCACAAGGGGACATCCGGAGTACAAGGTGTGTGAACAGTCCCCACTGTGACGAGCATGTGAGGAGCACTTGGTCCCACAGTCAAGGGATGCCTGAAGGTCGTGTTTGAGCTGGTTTTTTGAGATAGGGTTTCTCTATAGCTTTGGAGCCTGTCCAGGAACTAGCTCTTGTAGACCAGTCTGGCCTCGAACTCACAAAGATCCGCCTGCCTCTACCTCCCAAGTGCTGGGATTAAAGGCGTGCGCCACCACCGCCTGGCTATTTTCTTTCTTTTTAAGGCTGAATAATTCGCCTTTGCATGTCATATGCCTGCCACATCCTACTTGCCCATTCATCCACCAGTGGACGTTCGAGCTGCTCCCTCTTCTGGTGTGTACTGAGAATACCGGCATACTAATGTCAGTCTGAGCCCTTGCTTTCAGTTTCTTCGAGGACATCTGGAAACAGGATGACTGGATCTGATCCTCTACTATTCTTGCAGTGTTCTGAAAGGCTAAAATTATGTTGCCAGAGAATGTCACTTAGGGATGGTATAGCAGTCTTAGTGAAAGAATTGATATACTAAATCCTGTCTAGGTCTCATCCTTAAGTACCAAGTGTCTCCCGTTTTCAGACAGGATGTAAGGGGTCGGTGTTTGAAACCTCAGAACTGCTCTCTCCAGCTGTGATGTACAGAGAGGGTTGGAGAGTTGGAATCTGGTTTTTGGGGGGTCTGTGGCATTAATGTTGTGTTTTTCAGGTGTGACTTAGATGCAGGACCTTTCTTTATCTCTCACCATGTGTCTTGGCCACTGTTCTGTCACTGTGAAAAGACACCATGACCATGGCAATTGTTAGAAAAAGAAGCATTTAACTGAGGGACTTGCTTTCGGTTCCAGAGGGCTAGCCTGTGGTTATCATGGGGGGCACCATGGTGACAGGCAGTCATGAGGCTGAGAAGTGGCTGAGAGCTTTGCATCCTTATCCATGAGCAGGAGAGGGAGGGAGGGAGGAAGACACGGACACAGACAGAGATTAGTCCTGGAGGGTACCTCCTCCAATAAAACCACACCTAATCCTTCCAAACAGCTCATCACTTGGGTTCCAGGCATGCAAATATATGAGCTTGTGGGAGTGCATCTTCATCTGGACCATCACGACATTTGTCCCTCTAAGAATGTCTTGGTTGGGGAGATGACTCGGCCAGTTAAGTGCCAGGTACATCATATGTGGTTCCCAGCTGATGCAGCAGGGCATGATGGAGCAGTGCAGGCAGGTAGATCCTGGAGTCTGCCAGCCATCCCGCCCAGCTGGTTCAGTGAGCTCCAGATGCAGCGAAGGACTGGGTCTCAACAAAACAAGCTGGAGGAGGAGGAGGAAGAGGACAGCAATGACAGCGATGACCCTTGGCATGGCTTCTGGTCTGCACATGCATATGTGTACACATGATCGTGTACATAGGCCACACACACAAGAATGTTCTCAGGCCAGCAAGATGGCAAAATGGGTAAAGGTGCTGGCCCAAGCCTAATGACGCTAGTTCAGTCCTTGGGACACGTGGGTAGGAGAGGATCCACTGCTGCGGGTTGTCCTCTGACCTCCACCTGTGCGTGACGATATGTATGCCCACACACATCAAATACGTAATTGTAATGGTCTAATTGAAAAAAGGATGTTGTCCGTGATCTGAGGAAAACCTCAAGCCAAGGCAGCAGACATCCTCCCTTCTCACTGGTTTGCTGGGGCCAGTGCTTCACTTCCCTGAGCCTCTTTGCTCCTGGACCCACAGTGACCGGTGTGACACAGACGGTCACCACCCTTCTGGTGCTGCCATGCCATTGCTGAGGTTGGTGCAGTCATTTTGGATTGGCGCATATCCCACTCTGCACCCAGGGAGTTTGTGTGTCTAGAGATGGGTAGCTCCACTTTACTACCCAGAGTTCCCTGATATCCCCACCACCTGGGCACCCTCAGTGTCCTCCAAGCCTCGTGTCTGTTTCTTTGTGCCCTGTGCTCTGCCTGCCGAGGCTCTCTAGTTCTTATGTGAAGAAGGCAGACGTTAGGGTAGTTTCACTCTGTTCCAGCTAGGGCATGAAGAGCAACACGAGGCTAAGACAGGCCTAGTAAACGGGGAACAGGCATAGGTAGGTTCCGTGCTGTACAGGCGCTGAGAGGATGCTGCCCAGAGGTACCGGTCACCTCGTTATGGTGGTGGTGCTGGTGCTGGACATGAAGGATGCTGATGAAGCAAAGGACATGTGACTAATCTCCAGGGTAGGACAAGTGGCCCGCTGGCTAGCAAGTGTCAGCCACCCTTTGAAAGTGCAGCTCAACTCCCAACTCCTTGTGGCTTCCCACAATCCAAAGAGAAATGATCTCTTTTCTCTGAGCATTCTAAAAAAGCACCATGGTGCTCCTCCCTAAAGCTTGCTGTCACCATACGCACTGCAGCTATGGGGCTGTGTGCATGCGTGCGTGCGTGTGCTTCCTCATACATCCCCGGTGACGGTAGGTGGTAGTGAGTGTGTGCAGGCTGCTTCAGGAATGCGTGTGCCTTAGCTGGAGCCGTGGCTCAGCGGCTAGGAATGCCTAACGCTCTGCTCTAGTGCCCAAGGACGCGGGTTCGAACACCGCCTGGTGATAACGATAATCGATAAATCATTATCAATAAATCGGAAAAAAAAGGAATGTGTGTGCCTTGTTCTCTTCTTCCCCATGCCCCTGTTATTCAGCGCCCTGAAGACAAAGCCTGCAAGTAGCTGGTGCCCTGTGACAAGAACTGAGCATTTTATTACATGTGAGACTTGTCTCCTCCCACCAGAGGGCAAGGACCCAGATGCTTTGGGTCCCCAAATCTCTGGGAACACTGGCCTGCTAGAAAGGGATGGTGGCAGGGGGATGGTGCCACCTCTGGGACATAACTTGTGTCTTTTCCGTGGAGACGTGGGAGTGCAATTCTGATGTCTTTCAGTTTGTCAGGGGGCCACTGGTGACGTGGACGGCGCACAGCTTGTCTTTAAAGAAGTCCAGAAGCTGTTTAAAAGGAAAAACAACCAGATTGAACAGTTCTCAGTCAAAAAGGTATGTATGTCAGGGCCTGTCAATCATGAGCATCACCTGTGATGACGGGCAGCACCAACAACTCCCTGGATAAACTTTATGCTGTCAAATTCAGTGTGTTTTCCACTGTGGCTTTGTTTCTGCTCTGAGGAGAAAGGCTGCGCATGACTAAAGCAGGACTGGTTTTTGTTTTTTAATGGGATCCACCGGATCCTGTACAGTTGATTAGCCCTCCTGCAAAGAGGAAGTGTGTGTCTGAAGTTCATGTCATTTTAGAAGAAGTTGGTAGAACCCAGGAGAGGCAGCTGGCTCTGCTTCTCAAAATGTGATGGTGACCACATCACATTGATGTAATGAAGGTCAAAAGTGCCGTCGTATTTATCTATAGAGCTCTCAGGACTAGAGGGGGAATGTCTCAATTTTACTGTCCATTTCTGACACTGAGATATGGCTGAGTAACCTTGGGTGATGTCCTGGTTTGTCCTAGTTTGATTTTTCTTCTCTTTAGTTTTAAAATTTTTCTTTTACTCCATACATTTTTAAAGATTAATTAGCTTTTATTAAATGAATAATTAATGAATTTATTCAAAAAGATAGATTGCAGGGGCTGCAGAGACAGCTCAGCTGTTAAGATCACTTGCTGCTCTTGCAGCCAAGGACCCAAGTTTGGTTCCCAGTTAGACAGGGCACAGCTACCTGAAACTCCAGCTCCAGAGAGCATGGTGCCATCTTCTGGCGAGTCTACCAATGCCTGTGCACTGTGTACACATGCATGTGCGCACACACTTAGAAAATAAAGTAAATCTTTAAAATAAATATACTACAAGGTTGGGAATGTGGCTTGGTACTAGCGCACTTGCCTAGCATATGCAAGGCCCCAAGTATGATTCTCCAGTACTAAAACATGAATAAATGCATACATAAAATGATATTATAATGCAGAGTGCAGCTGAGAGCTGTGGGCTAAGTTGAAGATAGAAGCCGCAGGACCACGATGAATGCATGATGGAGCCCATGTGCATGCACTGAGTTAGTCTCCTTGTGAGGGCTCATGGATCTAAACTGAATGCATCTTTTTCATCCCCACATTTTCAGAACCCAGACACTGAGATATGGCTGAATAGAGGATATAAGTTATAGCCATGAATATATTTTTTTAAAAAACTGCAGAACTTTTGTAATGTGGAAAGACTTTCTGTTCGCAGCTTTGTAAGGGAGGGTGTTCACACTGGTCTTACACTGTGGTGTGTCTCCAAAGCCCAGCTTGGATTTGAGCTTGCTTCTGAAGATTGGGGCCTGATATTTTGAGAATTCCTTGCAGGCGGAGAGATTTCGGAAGCAAACCCCAACCAGAGCTCTGTGTGTGCTGGCATCCATAGAAGTGCTGTACTTGTGGAAAGCCCTTCCCAACTGCTCCTTCCCCAACCTGCAGAGGATGAGTCAAGGTAAGCAGGCTCTGTGCAGCCAGCCGACTCCTTGTGGCTGCTCCCTCAGTCCCTCAGTCAGCCCAGCTGACTGTCAGTCTCTGTGGATGGTGTGTCATCAGCGACGGGGGCAGGACACACTGGTGTAGACAGGTACAGTTGCCTGTTGGGGTGTCTGATGGTGTACTTAGTAAAGAGGCATCAGCTGGCATGGTGATGCATGCCTGCAACCTAGCATTTGTGAGGTCATCCCTAGTGACATAGGGAATTCAGGAACAGGTTGAGCTACATGAGACCCTATCTCAGAAGACAAAACGAAAAGCCAAAAAAACAAAAAAGGGAAATGGTGCCAGTTTACCAAGGTGGTGGGTGCTGTGAGTCCATATGTTTGCCCAGTGGAAGCTCTTGTCTTTGTGTAATTGTGATTTGCACACATACATGAAGTAAGGCATTCAAGAAGTAAGGCGTCTGGGGGTTCGGCTGGGGCAGTGCGCACAGCTGGGTGCCTGTACAGAACATTTGCACCACCCCTGGCCACTTCCTTATGCTCCTTCTCTGCCAGTCCCTACCTCATTGCAGTGTTCTGAGGTCTGTGTCCATGTTCGTTTGCCTGCCTTTGACCTTCTTCCTGCATGAAGCATCATGGCTGCTGGCATTGGTCACACAGGAGCCTCTGTTATTGTTTCTTCTCCTTACTGAGTAGTATTCCATTGTGTGGACATACCAGGACCGCTCTTTACTTCTCTGCTCTCCTGCTGATGGGCATTTGAGATGTGTTTTAAGTTGTCATGAGTAAAACTGCTATGGACATGCTTGGAGGCCACAAGATGTCCTTGGGTGTTACACCTGGAACTGCACCTGTCCCCGTCTCCAGGTGCTGGAATTACCGGCGCATACCTCCATGCCTGGCCTTTTATGTGGTTTCTGGGGTCAAAACAATGGGTCTTTGCAAGCACTTTAACCAAATGAGTGAGCTCTCTTCCCAACTCAACTTTTATCGATTTCTTTAAAATAAACAATCTCTCTACCCTTCCTGGTCAAATGCATTGTTTTGAATCTCTCTCAGTGCGGGGTGCATTACAGCACATAAACTTGCCCAGAATCGATTGCATGACTTTTGTAGTTGGTGTAATGCAGTGTTTTATATTAATAGAATTTTTGAAAAGGTTTGAGGTTTGCAGCAGAACTGGTCACAAAGTCTAGAACACCCTCTGCACACACACACTCTCTGACCCCCGCACACAATATCCTGTAACAGTGTGGTATATCCGCTGGCACCGATGAGGTTGTATTATACAGTCTGGCCACCAAAGCCACAGTGCACAGAGGGGTGGGCTCTTGCTGCCCATCCTGCTGGTGTGAGCCAGTGTCTAAGGCTCACTCGTGTAGTACCTTAGAGAAGAATTTTATCACTACCCTAAGCATCCTCCTCCTCTACCTGCTCACCCTTCCTTTTTCTTTGACCTCTAGTAACTGCTGATGCTTTTCTATCTGTACAGTTTTGCCTTTTCCGGAACATCTTGTGGTGGGAGCGATGCAGGCCTTTTCACATTAGCTTCCTTCTCCTAGGGAAGAGGTGGGGCCCGGGAGTCTCCAGATGCTGATACTTTTGCTGAGGAGATGACTCGGTCTGTAGAGTGCTCACTGCGCAGGCACGAGAACTCAAATCTCGCCTTCAGAACGCACATGGAAAGGAAATACTAGACTGTTACATACTTGTTACCCACGGCCCTGGGGACGCAGGAGCAGGGGCGCCGCTGGGAGAGCCCGGCTTAGCAAACAAGGAAGGCAGGGTGAGGAATGACACATAAGGTGATCTCAGGTCTCCACACGCGTGCCCTGCACACACAGGAGGACACATACACACATGCCCTGCACACACAGGAGGACACGTACACACGTGCCCTGCACACACAGGAGGACACGTACACGCGTGCCCTTCACACACAGGAGGACACGTACACGCGTGCCCTGCACACACAGGAGGACACGTACACGCGTGCCCTGCCACACAGGAGGACATACAGAGAAAGGTTGCTGGACTTGCCCTTCTTTCGCTAAGGAAGTTGCCAGTGGATAAGCAATGGCTTATCCTTCTGAAATTTGGGTGCAGAGCATTAACTAAACAGAGAAACAGCTCCTGAACTTGGTGACACTTGAGGTTCTAAATGGATGTCCTCTCTTCTTCTCACACACTTCTCTTCAAGCTTGCCATGAAGTGGACGATCCTTCTGTCATTGGATTGAAGCATTTGCTCCTTGGTGCCATACACAAATGTCTCGGAAACTCAGAAGATGCTGTTCAGGTAAACATGCTGTTCTGGCTCCAGTAAAATCCGAGTCCCTTCGTGTGAGCTTGCCGAGGAGGAGACGGGAGAGCAGTAGACAGAACCTGTGCTACTGTGCTGTCTTTAAGGAATAGCATTTTTAGCTGCTTGGAGGAGAAGGTAGTTAATGATGTTCGTGTCATAACCCCAGGTTTTAGAGCTCTCCTTTGTATGAGGAATGTTTTTAATCAAGGATGGCAGTGTCAGCCAGGGAGGGGGAGGAAGTGGGGCAAGGACGGGGTGTGTGGGGCGGCGTGTAAGGGGCGTGCGTACTCTTCCCATTCGTTTTCTTTATGACGACAGAGCTGCCCAGTGCTGAGGGCCTGGAAAGTTGTTCCTTGGGCTTCGAGTTAGGGAGCTGTCTGACCCTACGGGAGAACACCTGAGCTTCGAAGGAAGGGCTTTTCCCTAGTTCAGTTTCAGGCTGCGGTGAGGTGGAACATCCTGGGGAACATCCCTCAGAAGGCAGAAAATAAGTCAGAAAGGAAGAGGATATTCCCTCCACAGCCTTGTCTCAGTCACAGACTTCTCACTAGAATCACACTGGGCTGTGAATTCCTCAGCTGATGGGTCCATCGGTGTGAAGCATCTTGATGGCCCGGTCCCTCCTCACTAAAGCCGAGCTGGGGAGCAGGCCTTCGGCACAGGGCCTTTGGGACTAGTCTGTACCAAACAGCTGCTGCTCTGGGAGAATCAACAGTTATTTTTCCAATGTAGCTACAGGGATTTTTTTTTAACTAAGGTTTTGTTCATTGTGTTGGTGCTAGGACCTGAACTCAGGGCTTCACTCAGGTTAGACTTGCCTTCTGCCATGGGACTGCGCCCCTCGGCCAGTTAGTTTAAAAAACTGAAACTAACATTGCCTACTTTCTGAAATAGTTTCATAAAGACTTGGCCTTTAAATTATAGGATATTAATATATTCATGCTGAATTGGAAATTACTCTTCCAGTGTGAATTATCTTACTTACTACATGACTCTAAACAGCTATTTTAGACTGCATACTTAGTTAGTGGTTATATATAGTTAGAGGTCGACGTTGGCCTGTGTGTGTTTTACATCATAAACTGGGGATGTTTACTCCTTTACAGCAGATGAAGAGTTTTCTTCCAGTCAGTACAAGTTAGTGTGTTGGCTAGAAGAATCAGTAGCATGAGTTAGGGTACCCGACGGCAAGCATGTTTGTGTCCTAGGGAATCTGTCGCCCAGTGGCCAGCGTGTTTGTGTTCTGGGGAACCTCCCCACAGGTGTGAATGGGCTTCTCAGGTGCAGACGGAAATGCAAAGACAGGAAGGAGTTTCTGTCGTTTAGGATGTGGGGACAGATGGGGACAGTCACAGTGAGGGGGTTCAGTCAGTCTCCGAAACATGGGAGACAAGCTTTCTCTTGTCCCCGAGTCCTCGTTTAATGCAGCAAATCATCTGTGTTTAGATGACTTGATGCCAGAGGAAGATTATCTACAGGGCAGTCCGTGGGAAGAGGAGGAGAAAGGGAAGGGCAGCTGTGGATGGCGGTGTGTTCAAAATAACTGTGTGCTTGCATGGAGGTGGCCTTATGCCATCATAACATTATGATGGAAATGTTAGCAGTAAAGAAGAAATAACGGATCAGTAGAGAAGAAGAGATTAGTTCTAGAAAAAGAAACCCCTTTCCAGCCTCCTGAGGGTTGTGTGAGCCTTACATCAAGTAGGAAATGAATTCTTCCCAGTAACGTTCCTGTGACTCTTAGTTCTTCCAGCGTGCTGCTAAAGATGAGCTGTGTCGTCAGAATAACATGTATGTCCAGCCGTACGCGTGCTATGAACTTGGCTGTCTCCTGCTAGGCAGGCCAGAGGTAAGAGTTCTGCATGTGCTCCTCGTCTCCGGCAGCCAGATTGTGCACACAGGCAGCACAGAGCGCTGCTCACTGAGACCGAACCTTCTGTTCGGTTTGCTTTCCTTGATCTGCTGGGTGAGTCCAGGAGGCCAACGTCACGTGGTGCCAGTGCTTTTAAAGAGGCAGCAGTGGCCACACTGGAATTTGAATTGCAGATTCAGCTTTACATACAAAGCTTCTTTTGTGGGGAGAATTATTGTCTTCATCAATATGGTATGAGATGGTGAGGTGTATATTGAGAAGATGAGAGTGTGTCTTGCTGCCATGTTTGTGTGCCAAAGCACAAACCCAGTTCCTAGTCTGCACAGTGGGCAAACCCGGCTTGCTGATTTCCTTAGAGTCATTGCGAGAATAAGTGAAGATAACATGGGAGTCTTTTAAATCATTACAGTGTCCTGCACAGAACTTGAAAGCTACTGTGTATGTAGGAGGTGCTGGGGACGGGGCTCAGTGAAGAACTTGCCTCCCAAGTGTGAGAACATGAGTTTGGATCCCCACAGTCTTGTAAAAACCAGCGTGGCAGCTCGTCTGTGACCCCAGTGCTGAGAGACAGAGGCAGAACTAGAGGCTCCCTGGAAGCCGTCTGGCATCCAAGTCAGAGGTCACTGAGAGAAACTGTCTCAAACAAAAGATGGAAAGACACCCAAGGACACCCCAGGCCGTTCTCTGACCTCTACCCTCTGTGCAGAGAATCCCCCCCAAATTGCATCCACACACATGCATACAGAGATGTGTAAGTTAGCAAATGAGTAATGGATTTTTGTTTGTTTAGTTATAATCAGGTTTCACGAGTGCCTGAAAACAGTGACTCAAATTCTTTGAGTTCTTTTTTACTAAGACATAAAAAAAGGTAACTATCACACATTTGGATTGAAATTTGAAGCATTGCGTCCTTTATTGTGAGGGAATATTTACTTGTCCCATAGTCTATCTCAATGTAAATGGGCATCGGCTCCGAGACGGCCAGTGTCCCTCGCTCAGCAGGTGTTGGGACGGACTGTTTCCAGCTGAGCCCTTGCTTATTGTTACTTTAAGTTGTCTAGTAAGACTTTCAGCCCATAACACTGAGCTGAAACTGTTGCCTTTCGTGCACCATATTGGACCATGAAAAATTACTTGTCAAGTCATGCCTTAATGGAAACTAATAATTATCTTTACATCAGAGAACAGTAGCCTTTGTCCTTAGCGCCCCCTTGTGGCTCCAATGGATTGTTCTGGTTGTGTGTCCTCTACTGATAGATTTGCTGACATTGCTGTTAAGACACAGTATGGTTTTCTTATGTTCACAGACTGTAGGAAGAGGCAGAACTCTACTCCTTCAGGCCAAGGTAAAAAAACCACCTCAGTCCGCCTTCTTCTCATGGCTGCTGTCACCTTCTTTACCGCACACCTGGGTCTGAATTCAGGAAATCTGGAAGTGTTGATCCCTGTGTATCTAAGTACCTGTGTAGCTAAGTGAATCCATGAGCACTTGGTTTTGAAAGGGAATCTTCGAGGTTATAAACTACTATATAATCATTCAGCCTGTTTATAAGTGCTGATTTGGTGATTTTTTTAAAAAGATTTTATTTATTTATTTTATATTTTAAAAAATTTTTATTTTATATTTTATATAAATATAAAATAAATAAAATCCTTGTAATGTAAATATATATAAATATAAAATAAATAAAATTCTTTAAAAAAATCAAAACCAGAGCAACTTGTAAACAGACTGTGTGTGTATGTGTGTGTGTGTGTGTGTGTGTGTGTATGCATATATGCACTCTATCTGCATGTACTCTTTGGTTCCAGAAGAGGGCACCAGATCTCATTACAGATGGTTGTGAGCCACCATGTGGTTACTGGGAATTGAACTCAGGTCCTCTGGAAGAGCAGCAGCGCTCTTAACCACCAAGCCATCTCTCTGGCCCCTAGTTTTGGTGTTTTGATAAGGAAAATAAACTTTATTATTAGGATTTTTAAATAAGTCTTACTGTGTTTCCAGTATTATGCTCCTGGGCTCCAGTAAGCTTCCCCTGCTTCAGCTCCTGAAGAGATGGGGCTTCAGTATTATATTACCACACCTAGCTCCAAGGACAATTAACTTTTGATTTCATAGATATGTTTAAAAGTATTTCTTATTTTTATTTTTTGTTTATGAGTATTTTGCCTGAATGAATGTATGTGTACCACATGCATGGCTGGTGTCCAGAATGACTGCAAGCTGCCACGTGGGTGCTGGGAATTGAACCTGGGTCTTTTGGAAGAGCAACCAGTGTTTCTAACTGCTGAGTCCATCTGCTGAGCTGTCTTCCAGCCCCTCCTATGTTTTTGAAGAATTTCTTAACAATGACCTGCTTTGAGTCCAGCTGAAGACTACTATTCCAGGAATAACGAGGGGATTTTCCCAAAGAGATCTTGCAGTCCCCGTGACTCCCCCTCTCAGGTGCTAGGGTCCAGCTTGTACCACCACCGCTCTATAGCTGCTTTACACACAGCACCTAAGAGGATCAGCTGGCCGTGAGGTCTCCCATAGGAAGTAGGGCGTAAAATGCAGTGTGCGCTACCCTGTGACTCCCTGTGGACAAGCCTGCCTAAGAGTCCACACTCATCTTTTATTTGGCCCTTCCAGGAGGATTTTTCTGGCTACGACTTTGAAAACAGATTGCACGTCCGCATCCACGCTGCTCTGGCCTCTCTGAAGGAACTGGTCCCTCAGTGAGAAACTCCAAGTGACCCCTCTGTCCCCTCCACCCAGGGTCAGCACTTTGAAAGCAGAGGAGAAAGGCCTTTGAAGATGAGGTTCTCTCCTGCAGACCACCTGTACCAGGGGTGGGTTCCGTGTCGCTGACGTATCAAAGATCCCTCTTTTAAACATATAGCTTCGGAGTAATAAAGATGTTGAAAATGATAAAAAATAACCTACCTGGAGAGGGTTAAGTGACCTTGTTCAAACATTTTAGTTTTGTGATTTATTATTTTTAAAATAAAATCAAACTAAAGATTCACCCTGTGATTTTTGTAGGAGTGCCTACATTAAGCATCATCCGAGTGGGCTCACCATATACTGTTCCACATATAGCATGTCTCTTGTGCTTAGATAAAAATTAAAGCATCTTTCTAGTGGTTTACTTTATCCTGGAAATATTCCTACAACATCTCTGCACAACCATTCTTGGCTGGGCCTGGTGGCACACACCTAATCCCAGCACATAGGAAGCAGAGGCAGGTGGCGTCTCTGAAAAGAATTCTTACTCTTGTTTTATGTGCAGCGAGACTTGGGTTCAGCAGTGGGAGCCGACTCACTGCAGTCAGTCACTCATACCTCATGGGGCAGTGGCTAGAACTCAGGCCTCGAGACCAGGATCTGGAAACTATTTTATATAAAACGTGTAAACCCAGAACCCCATGCTTAACTCATCAAAGATAAAATGCTTTGCAGCTCAAGCTGCATCATCGGTCTACATCCCCAGAGCTGGGAGGTGGCTCAGGTCTACATCCCCAG